TTCTCAGCCTTGGCCACTTTAAGATGGGTGGACTACAACTCCCAGAATTCTCCAGCCAGCATGACTTCCAGAAAGGATGGGTTTGAAGCGGTGTTTCTCAGCCTTGGCCACTTTAAGATGGGTGGACTACAACTCCCAGAATTCTCCAGCCAGCATGACTTCCAGAAAGGATGGGTTTGAAGCGGTGTTTCTCAGCCTTGGCCACTTTAAGATGGGTGGACTACAACTCCCAGAATTCTCCAGCCAGCACGTCTTCCAGAAAGGATGGCTTTGAAGCAGTGTTTCTCAACCTTGGCTACTTTAAGATAGGTGGACTACAACTCCCAGAATTCCCCAGCCAGCCATGCTGGCTGGGGAATTCTGGGAGTTGTAGTCCACCTATCTTAAAGTAGCCAAGGTTGAGAAACACTGCTTCAAAGCCATCCTTTCTGGAAGACGTGCTGGCTGGAGAATTCTGGGAGTTGTAGTCCGCCTATCTTAAAGTAGCCAAGGTTGAGAAACACTGCTTCAAAGCCATCCTTTCTGGAAGACGTGCTGGCTGGAGAATTCTGGGAGTTGTAGTCCACCCATCTTAAAGTGGCCAAGGCTGAGAAACACCGCTTCAAACCCATCCTTTCTGGAAGACATGCTGGCTGGGGAATTCTGGGAGTTGAAGTCCACCCATCTTAAAGTTGCTAAGGTTGAAAAACACTGAATTAAGAGAAGGCCCAGCTAGGTAGAAGCAATAGTTTTGAACTTAGGAACCAGTGCTTGGTTAATACTTGGATGGGGCACCATAAGGAAATCCCAAGTTATTGGCTAGAGGGGGACTCAATCAATCCATTTATCTATCTAAAGGCAAATGGGGAAATAAGAGAAAGTGAGGATGAATCACTCTTGTCCTGTCGCCTAGGAAAATGCAGGGGGGCATTCCTTCATAGACAGGGATCAGCATCTATTGACCTTGGCTGGCTCCAAGCCGCGAAGCAGAGCCACCCCTGCCTGGTCCTGGGATGGGAGACCACCAAGAAATCCCAAGGCCGGAGGCTAGATTGGCCCTGAAAAGAAAAGACCTCCTGAAAGAATGCAATGACAGACCGCTTCCGTCGCCGAGCAAACTACAGGCCTAGCTCCACTTAAAGGCTGCCACCAGTAGTAGAAACTACTATGATATCACATTGATGATAAGGAAACTAAGAGTCGTGACATCACAGAATTCACCGAGGAAAGGAAATAAGTGAATTCCTATTCACAGCGTCCCTGGTCTGAGACGGGTGGCTATATAAACTGAATGAATAAATAAAAAATAAATCCGTGGTGGCGGGAGGCATTCTACAGAATGCTACCCAGCCTGGAAATTCAAGCGTTCGGAGAAGTTGCGTGTCCCGGAGCATCGCTTTGGCAAGCCATCCAAACCAGAAAATGCCAGCCACCTCCCTTGAATCACCTCGACCGCCGATTCCCATTCTGGGCCGTATTCCGGATGAAGAAAAAGCGGGCCGACGCTTGCCGCTTTGGACTCCCACACCGTGGGGCAAATGGCCGATGAGACTGGCCTTCAGCGTTTCTACGAACATTTTTATGCCGGGAGAACTTTCTCCTTCTTCTTTTTTTTCCCAAAGTTTGTGCGGCAAGGGGAGGGGGGAAATGCACCATTGACACATTCCCCACCCTGGAGGCCAGCAAACCATAAATTGCATATTTCACCCTTGGCCCTTCCTGGAGTTTCTGCCCTTTCTTCTACATTGGCCCGCTCTCCCCCTTCCCCAATTTTTTTTCCAGTTCACCCCTCCAACCGAGTGTAAAACGTTAACCAAATCAGCTGCTTCTTGCTTGACATAAATAACCCATCCAGAGCACCACGTCAGGACAATTTTGCTTTGTAGGAAACAAGGGCGACTTTTGACTTGGCACCAACCAGGCAAAGCCTTTTTCAATGCGGGTGACTTGCAAGAACATCATTTTCTTCCCCCGTCTTCATTGGACAGCCGATTTCTGGAATAAACACTCAGCCAGATCCTCAGGTCCCCCCCAAGGAAAAGAAGACTGGGTTGTGTATGGGTGAGGGTGGGAGAGCAGAGACAAGCGGGTGGAACGGTCTCCAAGCTCGGCACAGAATCGGGAGGCTCGTGGAGAGATGCTCCAAGCTCTTTCGGACCCCCAGACCAGCCATTTTTAAGAGAGATTAAGACCCCCCCTTTAGCAAAGTGGTTTTTTTCTTTCCCCCAGGAACCTGCCCACCAAAGTTTCATTGAGTCAGAAGGTCTCAAAAGTTGGATCCCCCCAATCTTGTTTGCAGGAATTCCATTTTTCAAGCCACAACCAATTTCTTGGTCCGCTCTCCCCACCCAACTCTCCATTCGACGTTGGAATTTGCAGCAGGAAAGAGCAAAGTGACAGATCCGATTTTTTGGGGGGGCCTTTTTGACATCTTCCCAGTTTCCTAGCTTATCATGGCTTTCGGGGAGCTGCTAGAACAGGTTGGCGGGATGGGGCGCTTCCAGTATATTCACACCCTGCTCCTCACCATCCCGGTGCTATTCATGGCCAGCCACAATCTTCTCCAGAACTTCACCGCTGCTATTCCAGGACATCACTGCCAGGTCCGCACCGCCCCCAACGGCAGCGAGTCCCCCAATGTCACTCATCGGCTAGGACCTGGCGACCTCCTCAGGGTCAGCATCCCGACGGACAGCAAGCAGCGGCTGGAAAAATGCAGACGCTTTACCGAGGCTCAGTGGTTCCTTCTCGACACGAACATCACCTGGGGGAACCAGACCAACATGGACACCGAGCCGTGCTCCGATGGATGGGTCTATGACACGACTCAGTACACCTCCACCATCATCACTGAGGTGAGTGGCCATCAACGAGGGAGATGCGTTTACGAGAAGGGTCATTTCGAGGCATGGAGCATTGACATTTATGTATTTAATCCCTGATTTATTTTGACCTGGCCTTGATTACTTTATCAGTAACTCAAGGTGGCGGACATACCTAATCCTCCTTCCTCCTCCTATTTTCCCCGTAACAAGAACCCTGCAAGGTGGGCTGGGCGGAGAGAGAGGGACAGTGGAAATGACAAAGAAGTGGTGGAACGGGGACAGAAGAAGATGCCAGGATCCAAGGCACACGTTGTCTTGGGTGCAGGGTTTGTTTTAAGAATCACTAGAGGGGTTTCTGGTGGCAACGCGTCAGCTCAGAAGCGTCTAATGCATTGACCACGAAAAGAGTGCCTCTGAACTTACGCCGAGTTTTTTCTTCCTCCCTTTAAAAACCCAAGCACTGCAGGTTTGTATCGGAGGATGATGTCATTGCTGGTCTTTTTAAAGAAATGAACAGACGCTTTTGAAAAGTCTCCGGGTAGCTTAGAAAGTATTAGAACAATGATAGAAAAACCAAAGCCCCGGATTTTAATCCCCAGCATTGGCCAGAGAGGTTGGGAAAAAACTTCCATCGGCATCAACAAGCTAGACTGAAGGCAGCCCCATTGTGCCTAATGGAAGGCTGTATAACTGGGCTAAGTAATAATTTAAAATAATTCAGGGGAGATCTTTGAAGCAATATCCGAAGAGGATTGCCCGTGGAGCGTCTGAATACAAACTGACATAATTTTCTAGTCTTACTGCTGTTCCTGTCCTGACCGGATTACGATTTTGCTAGAGAGAAAAATGTCAAATCCTTAAATGTAGGGATCGAGATATTAAATTGGTGTTCAGTGTCTAGATGTCTCGTTGGCTGGTTTTCAACTACGATCCTCCTGCTTCGGTGATTGTTACTTCGAAGCCTTTTTAGTGTGACCAGTTTGTTCTTTCTAGATATATTGAAAGAGAATTCTGCTCCAAATGCAGATATCCATGAAAACGATTTAGAACAGGAAACTATTTCAGGGAAAATGATGCGCAGAAACTGGGCGCGTAAGGTAAATGCGTGCGCCAAAATGCTTACCGGTTTAATGCAAACCTAAACTCAAATTCGTATGGGAAGAGGACAGGCCAAACTTACAAAGGGGAAAAAAATCTGAGAAACTGCGAAGAATTGGAGTAGACAAATGAATAAAAATGAGAATCTGCGAAGAAACAGAACCAAAATGGGCAGAGTTGCAAACCGTGCGACTGAAACTGATAGATTTGTAGATATTACGAAATAATAATAATAATAATAATAATAATAATAATAATAATAATAATATTTTGGTACTATCTTTGCTTTCTTTCATCATAGTCATTCTACTTCTATTAGCAGGTCTTTATATTTTGCAATTTTCTCCCGTTCTTTCTCTTCTCTTCTGCTGTCTCCAGGTATTGCAAGGTCCACCTTCCGGACTTTTTTGTCTTTCTTATCAACAGTGGTTAAGTCTGGGGTGTTGCGTAGCAGATGCTGGTCTGTTTGGATTCTAGGGCCTGCCACCCAACACCCCAGATTTAAAAACTGTAGATAAAAAAGACCAAAAAGTCTGGATCATGGACCTTGCAATACCTGGAGGCAGCAGAAGAGAGGAGAAAGAACGGGAGAAAGTCACAAAATAGAGAAATAGAATATTTTGAATGCAAAGAGAAGTAGAATGACTGCGGCAAAAGGGAGCAAAGATAGGCTCCTTGGGTGCAATCCTTAAACATCTGGTGCACCCCTTGAAGACAAAATCGCCATCGGTCCATTGCAAAAGGCAGGTTTGCTTGGAACAGCTTCCATCCTGCAACGATATTTTTAACGCCATCCAACAACATCTGCCTATCCCAGGTCCTTGGGAAGGACTCGATCGGTGGACAAAAAGGCAAAATCCAGTCTGAACATCTGGCCGACTCTGCGACCCACCACAATAATAATATTAGCAGCACCTCGCTAGGATTTCAACTCAACCAGGGGATGGCACCTTTTGAATCCAGGTCTTTCTGCTTTGCTATATTTCACACCCAAGTGAATAGCTCTCAAAACCTAGACCAAAGTTGTCGCAATGCGGGAATTGCCACCACCGGAGCTCTTTTTGGGATGACTCGAGGGAGAGACACGCAACCAGGCGGCCCTCCGGTTCTCCAGCAAACCAAGGAGTTAAATTGCAGGAACCGCAGGGTGTGTTTTGAGTTGGATGGGCAAACCGGTGGGAATGGGGGGGACTTGTCCCCCCACCCCCTGTCCTAATGCAATCCAAAGGCCCTGCTGGGCGCAGAAAAATCCCAAATCAGTGGGACATGCTTATCTGGCACCAGTTCTGAGAGAAGAACCGGTGGATTTTTCTGCAGGCAGCAAAAATGTTGTTCCGAGCCTGTCTGCTCTCCTTCCTCTCTCTTCCCAGAGGGGGTATGTTCTACCTCCCCCCATTTTGCATTTTTCTTCTTGTCTCCCCCACCCCGAGCTTCCTCTGGAGAACAGCTTGCAGAGTCAGGTAACCAGGCTGCGACTTAATTTTTTGCAAAATATAAAAGATCTGCGCCGGAGTGCACCGGGCCCCTCTTCTGAACTGGGGGCAAAATCTGTTTGTTTTTTAAGAAGAGGACGAGAAAAGCAAGCAAGTTTCTAGTCCTCAGGTTCGAGAAGTGTTGCGGCTTCAATGTTTTGGAAACTAGCTAGAAAGATCCAAATATTTGGAAAAGAAAGGTGGTCCTTTTCACCCAGAAGCGGTGTTTGCAAAATTTACTTCATTGCCCGGGAAAAAGAGTATTGTTTTCTTTTCCGCGGTATCCAGCCCTGAAGAACTCCACTTTTTAATCACATCCCTATCATGCGGTGTTTCTCAACCTTGGCCATTTTCAGATCTGTGGACTTCAACTTCCAGAATTCCCCCCCCCCCCCAACCCGCGGTCGGGGATCTTTCGGGGGGAAGTCTCAACACTACATAAAAGAAAAGTGTTGATAACAAACGTCTCAGG